TTTTCTTTTTGCTTATGTGGTGCTGAGGAATCGAACCCAGGGCCTCAGGTATGCAAGGCAAGCGCTCTACCACTGAGCCACCTTCCCAGCCCTCTCCTCCTGTTTTTTGTACTGAGGTTGAACATAGGAGCTCGCACATGCTAAGAACCAGCCCACCCTCAGACACCATCAAGAGACAATTGGCCTATGGTATCCTGCCCCACAGAGGGACATTTTCAGATGTTAGAGAAAGTATAAGATTTTGAAAAGAAAAGAAAGGTAGAAGGAAGGAAATAGTAGCAGAAAGAAATCAAGAAGATAGGGGCTGGGAAGGTAGCTCAGTGGTAGAGTACTTGCCTTGCATGCATGAGGCCCTTGGTTCGATTTCTCAGCAACACAGCCGGAAGTGATGCTGTGGCTCAAGTGATAGAGCACTAGCCTTAAGCTGAAGAGCTGAGGGACAGCGCCCAGGCCCAGAGTTCAGGCCCACAACCGACCAAAAAAAAAAAGAAAGAAATCAAGAAGATAGAAAACATATCCATTAGATAGCAGGAATGATGAGATGCTAGAAGCCAATTCTCTGAAAAAGAATAAAATTTGGTGATGTTGATGAAGAGATGTAACCTGGACAGAAGCACACATCCCCTAGGCTTGCGGGAGACCAGAGGAAGATAATGTGAATGTTTACGCAATGCATTAGGAAGAAACGAATTCCTAGAAAAATAAAACTTTCCCAAACCAACACTCAAAGAAGTAGAATATGAAGTCTTCACCTGTAAAAAATTAGCCAGAAGTGGTGCCAGGTGTGTAGTCCTAGCACTCTGGAGTCTGAACAGGGAGCTCACAGTGTAGGAGCCTTTTTTTTTTTTTTTTAACCTGTCCTGGGGCTTGTACTCAGGGCCTGGGCTCTGTCCCTGAGCTCTTCAGCTCAAGGCAAGTGCTCTACCACAGCGCCACTTCTGGTTTTTCTGGTGGTTCATTGAAGATAAGAGTCCCATGGTCTTTCCTACCCAGGCTGGCTTTGAACCACAATCCTCAGATCTCAGCCTCCTGAGTAGCTCCTGAGCCACCGGTGCCCAGCTTGTTTAAAGAAATTTAAAGCAAAACTGGGTGCCGGTGGCTCACCTGTAAGCCTAGCTACTCAGGAGGCTGAGATCTGAGGATTACAGTTCAAAGCCAGCCCGGGCAGGGAAGACCGTGAGACTCCTATCTCCAATAAACCACCAGAAAACCGGAAGTGGCGCTGTGGCTCAAGTGGTAGAGCACTCGCCTTGAGCTGAAGAGCTGAGGGACAGCGCCCAGGCCCAGAGTTCAAGCCCCACGACCGACCAAAAAAATTTTTTTTTAATTTTATTTTATTTGTGAACATACTGTACAGAGGGGTTACAATTACATGGGCAGGATAATGCATACATTTCTTACGACGCATTGCGGCCTCCTCCTTTGTTTACCCTTCACATCCCTTCCCAGCCTCCCCCCTCCCCCGAAAAAAAATATTTTTAAGGGAATAATGGTGCATGTGACCCAAACTAAAGGAAAGATTTTGAAAGTAGGATGTACAAATATCAACTCTAATAGTGAATATTAGTTATCGAGATCATATTAAAATTAATATCTGTGCAACAGATGATCCTTGACTGAGAGGAGAAGGAAGGCGGAGTGTAGCACTAATGGTTCACACCAGACATCATTGTGAGACAGACGCAGTGAGTGACTGCCCAGCCCATCCAAAAGGCCAAGGCCAGCAGCCTGTCATGGCACACAGCGGCAGTAGCTCACCCGGGCCCAGCCCAGCCAGGGAGGACTTCAGTATTTACTTACGTCCTAAACGAGTGGAGCTCGGCACAGGTGGTTATGGTTATGAAGGCTGCTACCAGCCTTCATTCACCTCATCTCCTCCACTTGGACAACCTCCTTGCCCTTGCTGTGCCTCAGTTTCCCTGCTCTAACAAGGCACATGATAAAAGTTTCCACCTCACATTGTTCTGGAATGCAGCATGCATACGTAGAAATACTGTCCGTGGGTAGCAGGTGGTGACCAGCCCCTGCATCAATGGGTTCGGGTGGTTTAGTGGCAGAGTCCCAGCAGGGATAAGTTTTTGTCTCAATATTTCTCACTACCTTTGGGTAGCTGGCTGAGGACAAGTAAGAGCAGTGGCTACCACTTTGGAGGTATCAATTTGTGTGTGTGTGTACATGCGCGCACCAAGTGACGCTTACTCATCACTAATCATGTAGCCCTCATTCTGACCGATGGAGCAGCTAATTCTTGGGATTGCTGCTGAGGTGTTCCTGTACATCAGTGATAGTTGAAGTCAGAGGAGTGCCTGGGAAATGCTTGAGCGGCACAGGGGCACCTCCGGCATGGACTCTGGAGAGCAGGTGGGGAGGAAGTTGGTGCAGGGAGCTTTGCATCCTGTGCCAGTGCTTTGGAGCTGGACAGAGGAAAGGGAGAGAATTTGGGTCCTCGTCCCAGCTCTGCCACCTTGTGGCCCCTTGCTGGGCAGCCCCAGTGTGTCTTGGTTTTGTTTCCTCTCCACTGGCCCCTGTGCCGAGCCTGCTTGGCAACTGGCACTTGTTGGGCTGTTTAATAAATCATAGGCAAACCCAGCTTCAACTGATGTCTGAACCATGGCTGTGGAGCATAAAGGCCTCTGGCTGAGCATCGAGCTGCTCCTCAGCCCAGGCCAGGGCCCATCCTCCCACAGCCACTCCAGGGGACTGGCCCAGGAGCCCAGTGGTGGCTTGAAGGGTAGCCTGAACCAAAAGGCCAAGGAGGTATTCTTGTGGAGCCTGAAGCAAAGGCAGCTGCTCCGGGCAGGAGACTTTCCAGTCGTAGACACAGGGAGGTAGCCACAGGGCCATGGCTGGTGACCCATGCCAGGCGGCCTTTGTGGCATCTAGTGATTTGACTGGTGACAGCATGCTGCCTGTGCTCAGCTCCAGGCATGTGTGTCCTCTTCTAGGGTTCTCTTAGCGGTGAAAGGCTGTTAGGGTGTGGCACTAACTATGCACTCTTGTCCCTTTGGCCTGAGTGGTTTGGGGCTTTGAGTACCAGGTCTGTTCCTGTTTCGTAGATGATGGCCCCCACACTGGTACTGCCTGCTGAAGTCCTGTAGTTCACAAGGTTAAACCCTGTAGCCAACAGTGAGCGTTTAGCTGCCAGGATGCTGATGTATCTACATTTGAAATCATTTTTGGAAAAGGTCTTGGTGTACTAGAAAGAACATTGCCTTAGTAAACAGGCCAAGCTGGTGCCCCAATGCCAGCCTCCACTGCTCATTACCCAGGCATCCATTTTCTCAGCTGCAAAATAGAGATAAAAGTGACAGTAAGGGGCGGCTGGGAATGTGGCTTAGTGGTAGAGTGCTTGCCTCGCATGCATGAAGCCCTGGGTTCAATTCCTCAGCACCACACACAGAAAAAGCCAGAAGTAGTGCTATGGCTCAAGTGGTAGAGTGCTAGCCTTGAGCACAGAGAGGCTCAAGGACAGTGCCCAGGCCCTGAGTTCAAGCTCCAGGACCAACAACAACAACAAAAATAACAGTAATAGTAATCATAGCATAATGATAATGGCAGTAATGATTGCATTTTTGCTTACTGAGTGTTTTGCATTTTCCAAGGAACAACCATTGTTCTGAGCCTTTCTGTGGATTAGACTCACAATGGTTCTGTGGTGTAGATTCCATTATAACCACAGAGAACATCAGGACTTTTGGCTCAGGCGAGTCTCAAAGTCTTATACCTTGTAAGGTGCTCCAGAGTCTGGCTGTTCCATCCTCTGTCTTCCCATTGCTAAGCCATGGAAGTCTGGGGAATACAGGGTGAGGTAGAGGAGGATGGAGCCGGTGTCTGCTTACGATGGTAGTGGGGGCCTTCACTGAACCTGTTTCTCAGAAGTAGTAGGTTTGTTTTTCTTTGTGCTGCACACAGATGGTGTGGGGCTGACACTCAGAGCATCAGTGAAAGATGTGAAAGACCGTGGGTGCTGCTGCTGCTTGTGGAGATGTAAGCCTGTTACCTCAAACTCGGATGTCCATGGCAGGAGGATCTGGAGTTTATGGCCAACCTGGGTTACATAGTCCCCCAAAAACAAAAACATAAAAGATGAGAGGACCCAGAGTTCCTGGGACTGTACCAGGAACTTTCAGGAGTGGGGTTAGACGTGGAAGGTGGGGTTATGCCTCCTCCCAGTCCTGGTCTTGCCCCACGGGGAGAGTGGGCTGGGCCGGGCCTGGTGGGCCACTGCTTGGCATATTCAGCTGACCGTCTCTGGCCCCGTCCTTTTCCCTAAGGTCCCTCGGGACTGAGGAAGGGTATTTAGTGAGGTTACTAACCTGCTTTCTAAGGTGTCTCTGAGCTTCCCTTACCCCTGTGGAACACACGTGCAGCTTCCAGAGTGTGAAGACTTCCTTCTCCCAGAAGGAAGCCCTTCCACTGCTGTGCACAGAAGGCAGCGTGGACGTGGGCTCTCGGCCGCTGCAGGTGACTTGCTTCTTGCCTTGGGAGTGTACAAGCCACAGCCATGTGTGTTTTTCTTTCCTAGGTGTGCCTCTGGTTTTGAGCATCTGAAGTGGACCCCTAAACCCGAGCGTTCACGGCCATCCCCTTGCCCTGTGCAGAAATGTCTGTCACGTACGATGATTCCGTGGGCGTGGAAGTGTCCAGCGACAGCTTCTGGGAGGTAATGCTTCATGCTTCAAACGCAGAGCCTGGTCGGTGGTGCCACCGCCATTGTGTCCGATGGAGATTGGAATGAGAGGCGCATTCAAGGCAGGCATTTGCTGTCAAATCCAGATGGAGCAGAGACTTGGGGCTGAGTTTAGCCAGCTCTCTGTCAGGGCAGAGCTCACCTTGCTGGGAAGTCTGATATGAAAAGAGATGAGGAATATTTTGTGCAAATACTGGGACTTGAACTTGGCCCTGCAATCTTGTTCAGCTTTTTCGCTCATAACTGGCATTCTACCATTTGAGCCATAACTCCACTTTCACCTTTTTGCTGGTTAATTAGAAATCTGAGTCTTAGATTTGTCTGCCTAGGCTAGCTTTGAACTGAAATTCTCATTCTTCAGCCTCATGAGCAGCAGGGATTACAGGCATGAACCACCAGCATCTGGTTCCAGTGCTTTTTCTCATGTCCAGCCACTCTGTGGGACCGGCATGATACAGGCATTCCCAGGCTCCACCTGAGGAGGCCGCTTTACTTTGAGCTTTGTGTTACACAGATGGTGGTGGTACATGGTAGCACAATGCACACAAGCCCGAGTCTGAACGAACTGCTCTTGAACTTGGTGGAGCACCTGCCTGACCATCTGTGTCCTGCAGCTCCATTCCTGATGGACTGTTGTAGGGTTGGTTTTGGTTTGGAGATCATTCTTCCCACTTCCTTTCCCTGGCCACTGGCTAAAAGAAAGTCAGTTTAAAGTTTTACGTTTATTGATTATTGGCTGGGATGTAGCTCAGTGGCAAAGCACTTGCCTAGCAAGTGCAATGTCCTGGGTTCAATCCCCAGTACCAAAAAAGAAAAAGACAAAAGTAAAAAAAAAAAAAAAAAAAAAACCAGCCCAAACAAACATTTACTGATTGCAGTTCCAGGGATTGAACCTAGGGTCTGTGAAACATGCTAAACTAGTGCTCTAACACTGAGCTTCAGGTCCAGCCCAGAAAGTCAGGTTTTTTGGTTTTTGTTTTTTTGCCAGTCCCTGAGGCTTAAACTTAGGGCCTGGGTGCTGTCCCTAAGATTTTTCACTCAAGACTAGTGCTCTACTACTTGAGCCATAGTTCCACTCCTGTTTTTTGCTGGTTAATTGGAGGTAAGAGTCTTCCAGACTTTCCTGCCTGGGCTGGCAGATCTCAGCCTTGTGAGTAGTTAGGATTACAGGCAGGAGCCACTGGCGCCCTACAACTTTTGATCTCTCAGTCTCTGTGGCATAAGCCCTGGAGCTTTCTTGCAGTTGTGGAGTTGTAGACAAGAGTGAGTCCAGCCATGCTGTCACCAGCTGTGTGACCCTGAGCAAGCTACTCAACTCATCTGAGCCTCAGTGTCTTCATCTGTTAAGGGAAGATTACTGGCTAGATATGATGAGGCCAATCCCCATGTCCTGGTGATTGCTGGAGACTAGCTTCATAGAGAAACCTAGCTGGGTAATGCTATCTGAAAACACATGCCAACTCCTACTGAGTTTAATGGAAACGGTGATCAAAATACCTAACTTTTCAGATGGGCAGAGGACTCCAACTTCACTAACATCTTTCGTCCCCGTTTTTCCACTGAAGGGGTTATGCTTTACTTCATGCTAAACAGCACATTCTGTTTGTGAGACGCGGCTGCTCATCTGGATGCACTGGTTCATGCCTGCAGCCCCAGCATTGGGGAAGCTGAAGTAGGAGGCTCATTCAGGGGTGGGAGACCTACCCCAGAACCACCCAGTGGGGTGAGAGTACATATTGTTGAGCAGCTACTGTGTGCTGCTAGGCCCTGGGAGGATACAGGACTGTGGAGGCCAGGCTGTTGGCTGGCAGGGCTGCGTCTGTACCTGCAGGAGCCAATGGAACCAGAGAGCCAGCAGGGGTTCTGTCCTTCCTGGCTGGCAGCAGCTCTCTTGGGTAGGGGAGCAGGCCAGAGCACACATCTCAGTGACAGGAAAGATTTCAGGGATGAGAGGGGCAGCGACGTTAGCCAGGTGGCCAGCCCCATGGTGGGCGTGTGAGTATGGGGCGTGGTGGGAGTACGGGGCAGAGCTATAAGAAGCTGCATCAGCACAACTTAAAAGGAGCAAGGCTGGAATTCAGAACCTCCCTGCTGTCCCACTGTGGGTGCAGCAGGTAAACCAAGGGGCAAAGGGGGCAGGTGCAGGAGATTGTGTTGTCATCAGGGTCCTAGCCATGTCACCCACTACTTGTGTGTGGCTTTGGGTAAGTTCCCGATTTTTCTTTAATTCCTATTCTAAATGGGCAGTAATGATGTACACATCTGTAGGGCACTGTGAGGTCTAAAGGAATGAATGCAGGTGAGTGGTGAACAGGTCAGGGTGGGCCTGGCCCAGCGCTTAGTCCCCCTGACATGGGAGTGGGAGGGACTCACACACATCTACGGCTGTTCCTGCAGTGGCTTTGGCAATGGTATTTAATTGCTGGGTTGGTAGCTGGAAAAATTTAGCAGCTAAATGTAGTGTTATTACAGAAGTGTTCAGCTCCTTGTTTAATGTCATTAACCTGGAGCGCAGCTCTGGAAGCTCTCCAGCTTCCCATTAAGTTCTTAACTGTAGGCCTATCAGAAGATGAGTATATTCCTTTTGCCTGAAGAGTAAATGCTGAGACAGGCTGTGCTCTTCTGTGACGCTGGCCCGGAAGTGGCTCTTCATCTTGGGTCACATCAGCAGTGCCCTTGTCCTCCACCTTGACAGGTGTTGGTTGGCTAAGGATCAGGAGCCCGCCCCATGTGGCTCTGAGTAACTGAGGTGCCTGCTGTCAGCTCTGCTCCTCCTGCTCACAGAAGCCTCATCCTTTCCCAGAAAGCCTTGTGGTCTCCACCAGGAAAGTCTCTTGTGCTTAAATTTCTTCTTCCCCATCACTAGGCACTAACTGAAGAGGGTTGCCCCGTGCAGGGGGGACAGGGCTCTGCCCTCCAGAAGCTTATAGCTGTAGTATTTAGAGGAAAAGACGAGAGATCATCCTGCCAAGTGCAGCCTCCGCCCCACAGCCTCCCAGCCCTCCTGGGATGAGCTGGTCTTGGGGAGAAATCACACAGGCCCTGGAGGTTGCTGAAGGAGGATCTGGGAGGCCCTCCTGCTGCTTTGTGCTCTTGTTGCTCTTGTAATGTTGCTCACTTCCGATGCCTTGAGAGGCCAAGGTGTTAGCATCTGGCAGTGTCTCAGTGTGCTCAGAGAGGGCCGCTGTGACCGCTGCACTAAGAACCTGGGCATCGGCCCTGATTGCTTCATTGTCCATGATTCTGAGCTCTCCGCAACTCCATGTGGAATGGGAATCCTAGTCAGCACCATCCACGCCCTGGGAACACATCGTGGAGTAAGTACCCTGTCTGCAGCCAGCCTGGAGAATGAGGGAAAATAAAAGCACAGCTCAGCCCCACTCCTTTAATACATTTTGGCCCCTCGAGGGAGTAGGATGGATTGAGCTGCTATGGAGAGTCACAGAGTGGGGGCATTGGCTTAGCCCATGCAAGGCAGGCCATGACCTTCCTCCAGCCTCGGCTGAGCTTCTTCCCTCTCACTGGGCCAGTACCGCTGTTGGTGGGTAACTTGCCCTAAGTCTCACAGCCTAGGAACAGTGTGTTCACCATGACATTGCTAGTGCCTCACATAGCCCTTGACTCCCAGCAGTGTTTAGTATCTGAGTGGCAAGAGGCCAGATGCTCCAAACTTGAGAGTTAGGGGGGCTGGGAAGGTGGCTCAGAGGTAGAGCGTTTGCCTTGCATGCATGAGGCCCTGGGTTCGACTCCTCAGCACCACATAAGCAAAAAGAAAAAAGCCGGAAGTGGCGCTGTGGCTCAAGTGGTAGAGCACTAGCCTTGAGCTGAAGAGCTGAGAGACAGTGCCCAGGCCCAGAGTTCAGGCTCCACGACCGGACCAAAAAACAAAAAAACAAAACTTGAGAGTTAGGAACACCTCTGTTTGGAATCCACTGGCTGGTGTCAGTGGAGATCCAGCTCAGTTGGAGACCTTGAACTGTGAAGCGCTTTTAGAGGCCATCCAGTTCTCTCTGAATGGAGATGATGAAATGACTAGAGAGGCCTGGTCTTGTCGAATGACAGCTAAGAGCATGGGTGGTGGGGAAGAAGCCAGCTGGCCTGCAAGTCCATGGTCCCACAGTGTGTGTGGCTCTCACCTTACAGCCGAAGGAACTGAAGTTCACAGAAGAGATTCATACAAGGTCGTGTACTTCGGGGCAGGGCCGCAGAGTGCTCCCCTTGTGAGATGTGGTAGAGGGAAGAAGGCCTTGGTAGAGAAAGTCAAGGGAGCCCAAGGAAGGACTCATTTGGGCCTAGGGGCATTCTTGTGGGTTCAGTCCCAGCACTGCCAAAAACCTGAGCTCATCTCTTCACCGTCTGCGGACAGTATTTCAGGCATTTGAACAGGCTCATGCTTCATCTTGTCATCCAAACCCACTGAGAAGGTGCTGAAGCCTCTTGGCGGCCTTTGTCAGTTTGGGGTCAGACACTCGCCTCTGCCTGCATAGACTAGCTCGAGGGACGTTGCCAGGGGCTGTGCCTTCTACTGGCCAACTTGGCACAGCTGGCCTGTCCTCAATCTTCCTTGCCAGTTTAGAAGGGACAGGTTTCATGCGCAAACCTTTTGAGTTCCATGTTACTGGGCATGGTCATTCTGATGGTCAAATCAGGTCATTTAAGAGGCCCTACTTAGTGGTGAAGAGATGTGGGGTTCTGGGATGAGTCTCATTGGCACACACTGTTCTGTTACATCTTCTCAGGTCTCAGTCCAGGGCGGCCACGCCGCAGAGGCACTGCTGGCTGCACAGGCACAGATGAGCGTACCCCTTCACACCTGTTTCCTCATCACCAAAATGGGCTCACTGATGACTAGGACCGCACCGATTCTGTGGGGTGACACGGGTGGCGTTGTCAGCTCCCTGCCCAGCAGAGCGCAGCCATGCTCCATTATGACGTGTGGATGATGACAGAATGGGGTGCCTGTCACCAGGAGGCTCGCAGTCCAGCTGAAGACAGGAGGCCAGGCCCTGGGAGAAACTGACCATGGGCGCAGTGTTCGCCAGGGCCTGCGTGTCCCCCAGCTGCAGCAGCCAGCAGGAGCTGGAGACAGGGAGGGGGGCTGGTTCCAGCTGCTTCAGTGCAGGCGGTGCAAGTGTTTGCCCATGGGGGTCTGGCCAGGAGGCCTGCCCAGGGAGCCTTCGTGGGAAAGATTGGCCTAGCCATGCCTTAAGGAAGGTAGAACGGGAGAGGAAGCAGGAGGGATTTCAGAGTTGTCCTAGGGCACATGTGTGCTTCATGACAGAAGGCCCGCTGGTCTGTTTTACATACTGTAAGGGCCATATGCCCACCCAGGCCCAGGTTTGGATCGGCCAGTCTGTAGGTATAGTTACCCGAGTTTACATCCTCCAGACCCACCTCCTCGGAGTCCTGTCTTTCTCAGGTTATCTACAACTTGCTGGCAGATTCTAAGTTTAAATCCTGTGTTGATGGTACTGGAATCTGGACTTTGGGCCCTACCCTTACTGGGCAAGAGCTCTGCCACTACAGCCTTAACCTTTTTTGTCCATTATTATTATTTTCAAATAAGGTATCTCATTTTTGCTTCGGTGCCCTGGATGGTGACCCATTGATTTGTGCTTTCAGTGTATCTGGGATAATGTGTATACACTACCATTCCCAGCTTTTCATTGGTTGAGTTGGGGTCTTGCAAAGTTTCCTTTTGCCTGGGCTGGGCTCAATTTTTGACTCTTCTGATCTCCACCTTGGCAGTAATTAGAGTTACAGGCCTGCTCATGTTTTATTATATCGGGGCCTGTGGAGGCCATGGGGAGAGAGCTGTGAATACAGACACAGGTCTGCACCCTCTAGGGCACAGAGACTGGGGTGGCTCCTGCTTGTGAGTGCAGTGTACACTTTGCTCAGAGGATGGATAGGCAGTTCCTTTATTGCTAGCTAGTTTGGACTTTTTTTTTTTTTTGTGGTACTGAGGTTTGAACTCAAACTAGGCAAGCATTCTACCACTAGACTTAATTCCATAAAGCAATGGCCAGGCATAGCTTCCAGCCAGCTGTGCTATTTGACGGAGGACAGCACAGCCAGCATCATGGGGGCATCTTGGTGTACCCCTTCTCTCGGCTCTGTGCCTGGCGGACCCACGGCCTGTCCCCAGCTGTCACAGGGTTGGCACAGGCTCCTCTGTCACCTCCGGGACCACTGACAGCCTTCGTGGAAGCCTGAGGTGGATGCTTGCTGAGGGCCTCCCCTCATTTGTGGCTGCTGCTCTAAGTCAACAGTGCACTGCAGGGGCTGGGCTGGGGCTTAGCAGTAGAGTGCTCGCCTCAGTTGCATGCAGCCCTGGGTTGGACTCCTCAGAATCACATCAACGGAAAAAGCCAGAAGCGGTGCTGCGACTCAAGTGGTAGAGTGCTAGCTTTGGACAAAAAGAAGCTCAGGGATAGTGCCCAGGCCCTGAGTTCCAAGTGCCAGGACTGGCAAAAAAAAAAAAGTAAACTGCAGCCACTGTGAGTGCTGATGGATGGCGCCAACACATGATTGGTTAGCAAATTCCCTTCTCCTGAAATCTTTCTCCAAGAGTTTTCAAAATCAGAGAAGTGGCCAGGTTTCAGAAGTGCCAGGATCCCTGTTTGGATGGTGGTCACCAGTCTGAAGGGAGATGAAAACAGGAGGTGCATGGCAGCTTCCTAGCTTTCTAGCACTGAGGCCACATTAGGGCTGCGATGATCTCTGCTCCTCTTGCCCAGCTCAGCCATACGCAGTTGTGTTTGGGGTATGTTGCCTCCTACTGTAAAGTTCAAAAGGATCATGTATGTGTGGTCACCTGTATAAGGGGTTGTAAGAACACTTGTCTTTGCCTTCTGGCAGGGCTGCTAAAATGTAAAGTCCCAACTCAGGTTCAGCCTGATGTTTTGATGCTTAAACTGCCGGCTGAGAAGTTCCTGCCAGCCTATGCCTGGGCTGGAGGGCATCTGTGGAGAGAATGATGGATTGTGTAGTCTAAGAGTTGTGCCTATATTCAGCAAGCAGCCAGAAACTATGCCAGGGCTCTGCAGAAGGCTGCCCAGGGCACCTGCCTTCTGGCGGCCTCTGGTTCAACAGGATTTGGGGTCTCATGCAGCAAGTCATCTCCGGCCTCTCTAGAGCTCTGGCCTCAGGATAGAGCCCCTTTCTCTCTGTCCTCTGGCCGTTTATGTGCAGGACTCTTGGGGGCTCTGTGTTTGTTTTGGGTTGTTTTTGTTTTTTTGCCAGATCTCTTCTCTCCTCCACCTGCAGACCCTTTCCTTGTCCTCCTCAGTTCAGAACAGGAGCAACAACTGACAATGCCACCAAGAGAGCGCTGCTTCTCCTTTCTACAGAAACAGGCAAATGCCATCCTTTCTGTAGGGAGAAAGACCTAAGCAAAGAGAAAGTACTAGGGGTTGGAGGTGTGGCCCAGCTGATAGAACGCTAGCCAGTAAGCAAAAAATGCCACATACCACGTTCAGGTTCCTGTCTCAGACTATAAAGAAAAGCGAAACTACTAGGTGATCAGCTAAGTGGAGACTGTTAGAGAAGGTTAAATGGACAAGAAGATGGCCTACATTTTTTTAAATGGAGGTAGAAAAAGAATAAGAATGTAACAAATCCTCTTTTCAGTGTCATTTGACAACTCATCCGAGTCCATGGCTCAATCCATGACTTTTTTTTGGTGCCAATTCTGGGTGCTTGAACTCAGGCCTGGGTGCTATCCTTGATCTATTTTTGCTCAAGGCTAGCACTCCACCACTTGGGTGACAGCTCCACTCCAGGCTCTTTTGGTGGCTAATTGGAGATAAGAGTCTCATGGCCTTTTCTGCCCAGGCTAGCTTTGAACTGCAGTGCTCAGATCTCAGCCTCCTGAGTAGCTAGGGCTGCAAGCATGAGCTACCAGCGCCTGGTGAATGTTTTGATTTTTGCCCCAACTTAGTTACTAACATTTTCTTTATGATTTCTAATTTACCTAACTTCCTTTTTCATATATGAAAATAAGTCAAAACTCAAACTTGCTCTTGAAAAAGCAGCTAAAGCTCTGAGCTTTGCCATCCAGACTGCCTTGCCTGGAGCTGTGTAGTGAGCAGCGCTCGCCTAGCCACTGTGAGGTTTGGGCGGAGGTGTCACTGCTTCAAGCCCCATTTTCTTCATCTGTAAAAGGGTATTCCTGCGGGGTAGGGGCTGGCAATACTTGTGGGCATAAGGCATCAAGCATGGTGCCTGGCATCTAGTGGGTACTCCCTAAGTGTGAAGTCATTTGTTACTGTAGTTGAGAGGTAGTGGTAATTCAGCAGGTTTTCCTTAGCTGTCCCCTCCCCCGGGAAGCCACCCCTGCCCACGCCGTCTGCACAGGAGGTGCTTTCAGCATCCTCAGCCCTCTGCTTGTCTGCCTCTCTCCCTGACCTGCCAGTTGTTTCTGCCTAGTACCTGGCCAGGAGTCTGTTGAGAAGCTCAGGCCAGCTGAACGTACATCCCTATTCATGAACAATGAGAAGCTTGTTGGGTAGCACAGTGTGCCTTTCAGACCGGGGAGACGGGACAGCCTCTGGAATGAGCATGGGGGGGCCTGATTGCCGTGAAGGCTGTTTGTACAACAGCTAAAAGCAGGCTGCACACTCGTGGGAGGGTCTGCGGGGTAGACAGCCACCCTGACCGCCCGCCTCACAGCTTGGCTCTGTCTCCCAGGTCGGGAACTACAAGCGGACTGTGAAGCGGATTGACGATGGCCATCGCCTATGTAGCGACCTCATGAACTGCGTGCACGAACGTGCGCGCATTGAGAAGGCCTACGCACAGCAGCTCACGGAGTGGGCCCGGCGCTGGAAGCAGCTCGTGGAGAAAGGTAGCAAGGCCACAGGCAGGGGCACCAGCTACTCATCTGCCAAGTCCCTGTCTGGGCCACTTTCTTCCAATAAATTGGGTCGAGAGAGGGTATCTTATAGTTCTCAGGGATGTGACTTTTGTTGCCTGGGCACTGTCCCTGAGCTCTTTTGCTCAAGGCTAGTGGTCTACCACTTTGAACCATAGTTCTACTTTCAGTTTTCTGATGGTTAATTGGAGATGAAGTCTCATGGATTTTCTTCCCCAGCTGGCTTCAAATTGTGATCCTCAGATCTCAGCCTCCTGAGTAGCTAGGATTAGGGGTATGACTTCACGAGGGCAGTAGGGTGCCTGCTACCCAGTGGGTACAAGCTGTACAAGCTTCTCTCCTTACTCCTTGGGGATACTGGGATGCTGTTTATTGTTTCATTTTGTTTTTGTGCCAGTACTATGGTTCGAACTCAGGGCCTAGGTACCCCTTAGCTTTTTCTGCTCAAGACTGGTGCTCTAACACTTGAGCCACACCTCCACCACTTCTGGCTTTTTGGTGGTTAGTTAGAGATTAGAGTCTCAGGACTTTCCTGCCTGAGCTGGCTTCAAATCTTAATCCTCAGATCTCAGCCCGTTGAGTACCTAGAATTACAGGTGGGAGCCACCTGCATACAACCTGGAATGTTCTTTGCACTCAGCCCCTAAGTCTCCTTTTGCAGCCCTTGTTGACCATAGGACACACTTGGGCCTGCCAGCTAAACTCAGAGCAGGAAGAAACTTGAAGAGGTCCCACCAACCAAGAGGCCCTGCTACTCATCACCTTGTCTTGAAACACCCAGAGCAGTTTACCCTTAAGCCTGGCCATGCAGCTTGTCAAATCAGACTGGAGGATGGCCATTGGCCTGCTCCCTAATGCTCGACTTCAAGGGAGGAGCTTCCTGTTTCTGTGGTGGAGGCCTGCTCCTTCCCTCCTCACCACAGACTCGAGACACTGAGGTGTGGCGACACAGTGCTGTGGGCCGGAGCCCAGTGCCCAGCTAGAGGGGAGCCTGATCGAGCGTGAGGTTTCCAGGCACAGAAGCAGCTTCTGGAGCTTCTCAGGCTGTGTGGGGCAGGCTCTGCCAGCGTGGCAGCTGACTTAGAGGAGTCAGGTGTCCAGGTGACGGGTCAGCCATGCCTAGAGAAGCGGCCTGTCCTTTCCCCAGGATGCTGGCGTGGGTCATGGCCAGTTCAGGGTCTGGCCCAGGCTCTCCTCTGAGTCCCCTCTGTGGTGCTTCTGTCACCTGGCCACTCTCACCTTGGCTGTCTGGCCGCCAAAGCAGGCCAGGGAGCATGTGTCATTTTGTAGTTATAAGGTGTCAGAGCCTCAAAGAGGCTCCATCTCTGCCACCCCAAGCCCTGCATTTGTGCGTCCCTTTCCTCCCTGCCATTTTCACCTTAGTGTCCTTCCCTCTCCCCCACCCGCTCTTGCCGGTCCTGGGGTTTGAACTCAGGGCCTGGGTCCCTGAGCCTTTTTGTGCTGTATCACTTGAGCCACAGTGCCACTTCTAGTTTTTTCCGAGAAGTTAATTGGAGATAAGAGTCTCATGGACTTTTCAAAAGCACAGGCTGATTTCAAACTGTGATCCTCACATCTCAGCCTCCTAAGTAGCTAGGATTACAGACATGAGCCACCAGTGCCTGGCTTTCTCTCCACCCCACCTCCACCCCCGCAGCCTTGTTATAGCCCTTGCCCTTCCCCACCTGAACCCCTAATCCTCAGTGACAGCCTCAATTAAGTTTCATTCCTAAGTTGGGGCGAGGGGAGGGGGGTCCACACCTTATTATCCACACTCCTCAGGTGGCAGGGGAATTATGAATTGAATGCCAGCCAGAATAAAGTTAATGAAGTCCCTAAAACAAAATGCAGGGTTGTGGGCATGGGTCAAATGGTGGAGCTCCTGCTAACAAGATCAAGAGTCCTATCCCCACTACCATGGCAGGGGTAGACAGAATCTGTGGCTCAAGTGGCAGAGCAGTTAATTAGCAATCACACAACCAAATACCACAAGGGGATCCTCCAAAGCAGCTTGCCCTTCCTGGCTAGCCTTTTAGACTGAGAGCCACTAGCATGGAGTGAAGTGACACAGCCATGACCGCACTGTCCAGAGCTTTCCATCTGGGCACACAGAGGCCTGGGGCAGAGCTGCCCTGGAGACAAGCCTCTGTCCTTCTACCCCGGGCAAAGGCCATCCATGGTGGTGAATCAAAGTGACTACACTACAGATGTAGGGGAAGGAGAGGGGTGAGCTCTTTTCAGAAGGTCCCCCTCCTCCAGGTGTCTTTAAACACTTCTAAACTGCAGACAGTTTTTACAGAGCTCAGTAGCTTTAGAAAAGGTCCTGCTAGCACTTGGGCAGCTCCCATGTGCACAGCTGCAGGGTTGACAGGAAACCCTTGCCTCCCGCCAGGGCTGATTAAGCCTCTGCTTCTCCCCTACCAGGGCCCCAGTATGGGACTGTGGAGAAGGCCTGGATGGCTGTCATGTCTGAGGCGGAGAGAGTGAGCGAGCTGCACCTAGAGGTGAAGGCCTCGCTGATGAACGAGGACTTCGAGAAGATCAAGAACTGGCAGAAGGAAGCCTTTCACAAACAGATGATGGGAGGCTTCAAGGAGACCAAGGAAGCAGAGGATGGCTTCCGGAAGGCCCAGAAGCCCTGGGCCAAGAAGCTGAAAGAGGTGCCTTGCTTCTCACAGGCTGCTGCTTGGCCTGGCCCCTCCCCTGTAGGCCCTCCAGCAGGATCCCTGTGGCCGTCACGCTGCTAGAGGAAAAGCCACCCTCACACCTGCAGCCAAGGTGGCTGCCATTTACTCAGAACCACCCACCCACCACCATACTTCCTCCAGCCTGGGGAATTCTGCACTAGAGACTTAAAGAGCCTTTGCACTAGTAGAAAGGAGTAATATAATTTTGCTCTTTGTCCTGCATGGATTTTTTTTTCTCCCAAATTTGAAAAAAAAAAGGGGGTGGGGTGGGGAGGGACTGACATTCTTGGTTCAATGGTCAAAGTCTCTGAGGCCATGACCTAGCTAAAGGCTGTCATCTGGTCAACCGGGCCCTTAGTATATGGGTTCTGTCCTGCTTGAGGCCTGGCCCTCATTCCTCATTGTACATCCTCCCCCAACCCTCCCCCCTCCACGTGGCTTTTCTCAGAGGCTGTGTGGCTTTCTATTCCGCCTATCCAGAGTAACGCTCCACCTCTGAGTTGTCAGAGGCTCTCCTGTCCTCTACTGCTTGATCCAGCCACATCTCTTCTCTGTTCCTTCTTGCCCCTAGCCCATTCATAATGCAGCATTGTGTCCTCTCACAGGGACATTGATATTGACATTGATTCTAGAATGTAGTTTATGACTTTGGTTTAAAATAGAAAGCATCTATTAAACCAGTATGCATTTGTGTGTGTAAAATAGCCATTAAAATGTGTGCATATAAAACAGCCATTAAAATCATGTAGCTAGGGGCTGGGAAGGTGGCTCAGTGGTAGAGCGCTTGCTCTGCATGCTCAAGGCCCTGGGTTCGATTCCTCAGCACCACATAAGCAAAAAGAAAAAAGCCGGAAGTGGCGCTGTGGCTCAAGTGGTAGAGCGCTA